AAAAATGAGGAGGGGAAAGTGTCAGGTGTGCAGGCAGCTGCAGGTCCAGTAAGGGGCCCCTGCCAAGACAGCCAGATTCCGTTCTGCTCTCTGAAACAGCTGTAGGTGCGTGGCCTTCCTGGGGCAGCAAGGAAGAGCTATGACCACCAAGAGTCGGGTTTAACATTTATTAAACACTATCCTTATGCCAAGTACTGTGCTTGGGACTTTTGTGTACATTGCATCTCAGTTAATCCTGGCACCAGCTCACGGGGACAAGACTATAATTCCCTTTTATTGTTTAGGAAACAGGCTTAGCAAAGCCAAGTGGAACTCACATAGCTAGTAAGAACCTGGATTTCTCTGTCATTAAAATCTCACTGTAATTCATTCTCATTACTTTGATCCACTAGTCTTCACAACTGCTTCTGAAAACTTTGATCCACTAGTCCTCACAACTGCTTCTGAAAAGCCTTTTTGTTTTCTCTGCTTTAAGAAGATTTACATGCTCAAGGAGGGGATGCAGAGGAAGTTAAAAAAAAGAAAAAACTAAAGAAAATATTAAATTTTAAAATTAGATTCCTACTATTGAAACATATCCACCATTAAGGTGTATATCCTTGCAGCTTTTTTTTTTCTATATTATACATAGTTTTTAAGAAAACAATATTGGGGGGACTTCGCTGGCAGTCCAGGGGTTAAGACTCTGCGCTTCCACTGCAGGGGGCGCGGGTTCCATCCCTGGTTGGCGAACTAAGACCCGCATGCCACGTGACGCAGCCACAAAATTTAAAAAGAAAATTATGTTTCACGATTAAAAAAAAACAATATTGGGATCAGATTGAAGATTTTTGCTTGAAACTTGTTTTTCCAGCTAACACTATGGTAAGTAATGAGTTAATACTCATGACAAATATGAGTGTTAACTTTGCTCAATGTTTTTCGCTTTTTAGAGATGGACTCTAGTAATGTGGGAATCCACTCCATCACTTACAGGCTGTGTGCTTTGGGACAAACCACATAACCTCTAGGAGCCTCAGGCCGCTTATTTCGGGGGACTGTTATGAGGATTAGACATGATCCTGTGGGTGAAGCTCCTACCTGGCGCTGTGCCTGGCGCTGTCTCTGTGCCCCAGTCACAGTTGCTGCAAGGCAGAGTCCCTCCCTTCTAAGCAGAGGCCCAGAGCTTGCTAGCCTCCTCAGGGGTTATCGAAGTTCTGCTGTGGCCATTAGTCTTCCACTTCTGCTCCATGCCCTTCATCTCCTGTAGTTACCTTGCCCTTTTGGCTGAGGTATGGGCTCACCTCAAACCAATGTAAGTTGTTTTATTTATTTATTTATTTATTTATTTATTTATTTATTTATTTATTGGTTGCACAGAGTTGCTGGCGGGATCTTAGTTCCCCGACCAGGGATTGAACCCAGGCCACCACAGTGAAAGTGCTGAGTCCTAACCACTGGACCACCAGGGAATTCTCTAATCAATGTAAGTTTTGACTTTCAAAAAGGGTGGACTCATTTTCTGTTTCATGCAGAACTTGGTCTCTCTTGAGTAACTGAGAACATACTCCTGGAAAATATCTGTGTGGCCCCGCGGTGTTGGACATCCCTCTCCTCCATAATTAGCCAGCATCCCCGCCATCTGGACTCACTCATACCTCACAGGGATTTCCTTGTCCACACAGAACTAAGATTGATCCAAGAGCCCTGCTCCCGCTGACCGAACTCTACCATCTGTTCTCAAGCTTGCTTTGCCAGCTCCTGCCCAGCCAGGGGCCCCTCAGTGGGCATGCAAGGTGGTTTCTGTGCACCCTAATTTGCTAGTCTCTTATTTTGGTAAAGGCCCAAAGTCCCAAATACCCTCACACTCTGCTTCTTCCTTGAAAAGCAGGGCAGCCGGTTTCCTGATTTCTTTATGTTTATTTATGCACGTACTACAGAAAACTTGGAAACTATACTTAACCAGAAAAAAAAAAAAAGAAAAAGAAGAAAGAAAAAGAAAAGAAAAATCTCAGTTCAGAGCTAAACACTGCTCACGTTTTGGTGTCTATTCTTCCAGTCTTTTCTCTACACACATATGGCACTTTCTCAAGTCTCAGATTGCCAGAAGCCTCATCTCATTAATAACAGCTTTTCAGGCAGGCCGGGAGGGGGGAACCACTACATTAAATATTCATATTGATTGTAAGAGACATTTTTATTTCAGAAATAGTAAGTGGTGGAAAAAAAGTATCACAGTACCTAGGAAATATGGTGTCTATTACATTAAAAAAATTTTAAGTGGGATACTATAACCTGCTTTTTTCAGTTAACATATTATGAAAATATTTCCATACCATTGAATAGTCTTTTACAATATATATTCCTTGAGGACATTCTTCTACAAAATGAAAATAGCTTTTCTTTTTCTGAATATAAAGACAATATATATTCATGTAGCACATACATAAAATGCACCAAAAGTATAAAGAAGAAAATACAAGCCAGCCAAAATCCCATTATCTAGCAGCAACCACTGTTAACATTTTTGTTAACAGTGAGCTATTTCTATGAATGTAGATGCATAAGTAAATATATATTATAAAGTGGAATACTACTATAAAGAGCACTTTGTAATATGCTTTTATTTTTCACTTAGCAGTAGGTCACAGGAATTGCTCCAAGTCAATAAATCATTTCATCATTTTTAAAGTCTGCATCATATTTCAGTGTACAGATGAAATGATAGCACAATTTATTCACCTAGTCTTCTACTGATAGACATTTAGGTTACTTCCAGTTGTTCGCCATTATACGTAACATCTTCCTTGAAATAAATGCCTAGAAGTACAACTCCTGAATCAGAGTACATATTTTTCAAATCGGATATACATGGCAAATTGCCCTTCAGATGCTGTTCCTCTTTTATGCTCCCATTAGCAGTGTGTAAGACTTCCCCTCAGTCTTGCCTAAACTGGGTATTATCTTTTAAAAATCTTTGTCAATCATTTTTCAACTAATGTCAAGGTTGAAAACCTAAGGGTGCCAAGACAATTCAATGTGAAAGAATAGTCTTTTAAACAAAATGTGCTTGGACTCATATAGCCATATGCAAAAGAAAGACGTTGAACCTCTGCCTCACACCATATATAAAAATTAACTCAAAATGGACCATGGACTTAAATACAAGAGCTGGAACTATAAGACTCAGGAAACCTAGGAGTAAATCTTCATGACCTTGTATTAGGCAAAGCTTTCTTAGATATGACACCAAAAGCACAAGAAGCCAAAGAAGAAAGAGATAAATTGGACTTAATCAAAATTTAAAACTTTTGTGCTTCAAATGATACCATCAAGAAAGTGAAAAGACAATGCATGGAATGAGAGAAAATATTTGTGAATCATATATCTAATAAGGGACTTGTATCCAGAATAGATAAAGAACTATTAGAGCTCAACAACAAAAAGACAAATAACCCAATTAAAAATGGGCAGAGAATTTGAATAGACATTCCTCTAAAGAAGATATACAAATGGCCAATAAGCACAAAAAGAAGCTTAATGTTATTAGGCATTTGGGAAATGATAATCAAAACCAAAATGAGATACCACTTCGCACTTACTAGGATGCCTATAATTAAAATGATGGACAACAAGTGTTGGTGAGGATGTGGAAAACTTGGAACCCTTGTGCATTGCTTGTGAGAATGTAAAATGGTGCAGCTGCTGTGGAAAACAGCTTGGCAGTTCCTCAAAAAGTTAAACATAGAGCCAGCAGTTTCACTGCTAGTTATATACCCAAGAGAATAAAAATGTATGTCCATATGAAATTTGTACATGAATGTTTATAGCAGCATTATTCATAATTGTCATAAATTGGAAACAACCGAAATGTCCATAAACTGGACATTTTGGTTGTTTATCCATAACAGAATAGATAAACAAAATGTAGTATATACATACAATGGATTTTTTTTCAGACATGAGAATGAATAAAGTACTGATACGTGCTTCAACATGGATGAACCTTAAAAATATTATGTTAGCTGAAAGAAGTCAGGCAAGATGACCACATAGTGTATGACTCCATTTATATGGAATGTCTAAAAAAAGCAAATCCATAGAGACAGAAAATAGATTAGTGGTCGCCAAGGGCTGGGAGTAATAGGGAGTGACTTCTAATGAGTATGGGGTTTCTTTTTGGGATAACAGGAATGCTCTGGAATTTGATAGTAGTGATGGTTGCACAACTCTCTGAACATACTAAAAACTACTGAATTGTACACTTTAGAAGTGAACTTTATGGTAACTGAGTTACATCTCAATAAAACTGTAAAAAATGTTTATCAATTAGGTAAGATGACAATGATATCTCATCTCTAATTTGTACTTGTTTATATAACTAATGGGGCTGAATATTTTTTCAGGTATTTATAAGGAATTTGTTTTCCTTTATAAGTTACCTGTTTATGTCCTGTTGGTATTTTAAAATTATTTATTAATAAGTGCTCTGTATATATTAAGAATATTAACCCTTAGTCTGACATTCATGTTCAAACTATTTTCCCCACTTGTTGTTTGCCTTTAAAATTTTATTTATGTATGTATATATACATACACAAACACACATACAGGGGAGGGTGATGAAGAAAAATTTCAAATTTTTATTTAGGATAAAATTGATCTTTATGTTTATTGCTCTCATGTCATGAGAGCCTTCCCCACCCCAAGACTATATCAATATTCACCTATATTTTCATCTGATACTTCTGGTTTCATTTTTATGTGAAATCTATAATCTATATAGATTAATATTTTAATGTATGCCTTGAAGTAAAGGTCTAATTTTCTTTATTTTTAATGGTTAGCTACTTGTCCCAACACCATGTGTTAAGTAATCATCTTTCCCCCAATGAACATGAAATGTGACCCTTAACACATACTAAGTTCTTACATATTCTTAAGTCTATTTCTGGACCTCCTTCTCTGTTCACTTATTTTTCTATCTCACCAGTACCCCTCTGGGACAGTTTAGCAAATGGAAAGCCAGTGGACAAATGACAGAAGACCAGAAGTTTATTCTCTGGAGATATGGGCTCAGAGCGGCACTGGACTTGGGGACACCAGGCCCAGGTGAGAGTGCATCTCCATTAACCATGTAGGTAAGTAGAGAACATAACTTTCAGAATGCACAGTGCCACCACTAGTCCTATGCTACCCTCCATATTATCTCCCTCCCTATTTATTATCATTCTTCCCCGGAAGAATACACAGTTGACCCTTGTTTTTTTGGCCTCACTATGCGGCATGTGGGATCTTAGTTCCCTGACCAGGGGTTGAAACTGTGCCCCCTGCAGTGGAAGTGTGGAGTCTTAACCACTGGACAGCCAGGGAAATCCCCATGCTTGACCCTTGAACAATGCAGGTTCGTACTGTGGGGGACCACTTATACGTGAATTTTTTTTCAATAAATACAAATTACAGTCCTAAGGTTCATTGAATCTGTGGATGCAGATTGGATGTGGAGGGCCAACTGTAAAGTTATACATGGATTTTCAACTTCAGGGAGGACTGGCAACCCTAACCCTTGTGTTGTTCAAGAGTCAGCTGTACCATCAGTCAAGATGTAAAATGATATCAGAAGGATTTCTGGTTAGTCATGATGGATTTAACTCATATGCTTATCTCCACATCCTCCCAAACCCTTAAAAGGATTTAAAGATAAAGTTGAGGAAATTTTCCCAGAAAGTAGAATAAAAAGGTAATGAAATATACTAAATGACAAATAAAATCAAAGGATCAGTCCAGGAGGTCCAATATCCGACTAATCAGAGTTCAATAAAGAGAGAAAAAATAAAATGGAGGGAATTAAGTGGAAGTCTACATCCCAAATGGCGAGATACCCCTCCAACTCCCCTTTCCCCACTTAGTTCCAGAATGCTAATAGCTAATCTCCAAAGGCAGGAGATTGGAGGATTCTTTTCTGAGGAAAGTGACTGGTTTATTTTTTATTTTTTAAAAATATTTATTTTTGGCTGCATTGGGTCTTCGTTGCTGTGCGTGGGCTTTCTCTAGTTGCGGTGAGCAGGGGCTACTTTTCGTTGACGTGCACGGGTTTCTCATTGTGCTGGCTTCTCTTGTTGCAGAGCACGGGCTCTAGGCACGTGGGCTTCAGTAGTTGTGGCTCGCAGGCTCTAGAGCGCAGGCTTAGTAATTGTGGTGCATGAGCTTAGTTGCTCCGCGGCATGTGGGATCTTCCCGGCCCAGGGATTGAACCCATGTCCCCTGCATTGGCAGGCGGATTCTTAACCACTGTGCCACGAGGGAAGTCCAAAGTGACTGGTTTAAGAGTGAATATCTAAGATAACCAAATTTCTTTTATTTTAGCTATAATTTCCAAGGGCACTTTTTTGTCTCTATAATTATTCATTTTTCATAGCATCCTGTTTTTATTTCATTGATGTAACATCTCTTCTCTTTGAGAAGATAAAATTTTATTCTGATATCTGAATTGTCTCCATTTTCTCCAAGTTCCTTTTTACTAACTCAGATTTCTGGCTCTAGTGTTAGAGTCTGTTAACCCAAAACAATAAAACAGCAAAACGAGTTTATTTGGGAGCAGCAAAGAATTGCACCTCAGGACGCACAACTACGGTGAACCACATGCAAGTCTAGTTAAGAAAAAGAAAGGAGACTCTTTTATAGAGAAGGGGAAATTGGGAGTGGCTGTTAAAAACAAAAAGTCCATTGGAGGAAACTGGGACTTTGAAGTATAGTGGCCTTTCACTGGCTGAGCTGTTGCCAGGCAAGGAGAAATCTTTCTTCCTCCCAAGGTGGTATAGTAGTGTCACTTCTTGCTAGAGATGCAAGGTAGGTCTCTACCTGTCAGGATCTCTATGGATGTTGCGTGGTATGTACATGAGAGCTCCCCCTCTGGCCTCCCAGCTCCATTTTAGTGAGGTTTCCTTTTGTTAATTTTCACAAGTCTTTCCTGAGTATCTGACCATCCTTGAATGTCCGTTCATATTTACGAGAGAGGGGCTAAACAGATGACTGGAAGCGCTGATGTACTGATAGGTCTTAGAGACTTGTGGGTATCAATCCATGGTGATCAGGAAGCAAGCAGGCATTTCCATTGAGAGACCTCCAAATGCCAGTATTTTCAGTACCTACGGCTGTAAAGGATGAAATTATCAAGCAATAATACAACACAATTCCTTTGGATTTCCAGGTTGAAATGGCCCATCAAGGCATATTATAATGAAAATCAGAAAACCAGAGATCCTGAAAGTGTCCTAAGAGAGAAAAAAGTCATAATGAGGGCTTCCCTGGTGGCGCAGTGGTTGAGAGTCCGCCTGCCGATGCAGGGGACACGGGTTTGTGCCCCGGTCCGGGAAGATCCCACATGCCGCTGAGCCTGTGCGTCCGGAGCCTGTGCTCCGCAACGGGAGAGGCCACAACAGTGAGAGGCCCGCGTACCGCGCAAAAAAAAAAAAAAAAAAAGTCATAATGAAAGAATCAAAAATCAAAATGATGTGAGACTTAATAGACCACGGGGAACTAGAAGACAGTGGAGGTGATGCCTTCTGAGGAAAAGGATCCTCCTCTTAGAACCTAACACACAGCCAAACTGTCATTCAAGAGTGAGAGAAGAATAAAAATATTTTCAGACATTCAAGATCTCAAAATATTAACCCTCCACGCACCCTTTCTCAGGAAGCTACTGGAGGATACCCTCCCTTAAGGGTAGCTGTAGTGGGCCTCAAGGACAACCCAATACAGATGGAAACAGAGGACAAGGGCTCCAGGAGGTATGCTGGAAAATAAACATGAAGATTACCTCCTGTGCAGCCTCATTGAGAGGTGACTTTGCAGCTTTGACAGAGAAATGAAAACAATAAAAAGAGGTCATTCTTAACTCCAGGAAAAATAAAAAGTTGTACAAGAAATATAATTACAATATGTTATATGGCTCATCTGTAAACATTATGTAGTCACATAACATAAATAACCAACACTGAAAGGAGGTGGGAAGTCAAAGCTGTGTGGGAGTGAGGACCTGAGAGCTAAATCCTTATTTTTCATAGTAGGAAGTCAATATTTAATGTTCAAAAAACATTGGATGTAATATAACCACATTATTTATATAAAAGAAGGCAGACACCAGAGACGACAGCTAAAAGAATTGAAGTTGCTGTCTCTGGAGAAGAGGGAGGAAAGTGGGAGGGGCCAGGCAGGAGCATGCTGTTTTGGTAACAAGCTCCGTAGTAGTCTATTTCTGCGTTTAAAACGCTCTACTTGTATTACTCGGAAACAAATGAAATTTAAATCAAAAAGCTTGCGAGCTGTTAGAGGTGGCCCCTGACAGTGGGTGTGGATGCTGGGAAAAGGTGTTCTGCCTGCCTGAGATCTATTCCGAAAGGGCTGGAGGTCCCCAGAGACCAGAGGACAGACGGTGTGGGAGGGGCCAAGGGCCTTCACGCCTTTTCTGGGGCACTCTGCTCCTGGGATGGATGTGGGTGTGATAGGGGCTCAAAATTGGGTTGGATTTTCTTCATACAGCTGCAACGTGCACTTTATAAGGGTAGAGATGTTGCCAAGACTCTGACATTACATTTCTGTCAGATTTTGTACAGTGTTGGGGGATTCCTAATTTCCCGATGTCTTCAAATGTGTTTTATTTTTTTAACATCTTTATTGGAGTATAATTGCTTTACAATGGTGTGTTAGTTTCCGCTTTATAACAAAGTGAATCAGCTATACATATATCCCCATATCTCTTCCCTCTTGCGCCTCCCTCCCTCCCACCCCTCTGATGTGTTTTAGAGAGAAGTTGAGAGAGTGCAGGGGGCCACTCAGAAGCCACTGTGTTTGGACATCTGGGTTCTTCTTTCTACAACAGCCTGAGCAGGTCGGCCTCCCTCTCACTCTCTTTTTCTCCTCTCTCTTTCTCTCTCTTTTAAATTGAGGAATAATTACAGTAAAATGCACAGATGTTAAGCATATAGTTGGTGAGTTTTAACAAAGGTGTTCACCAACACCCCATTCAAGATAGAAAGCACTGCTATCGCATCCCCCTGTATCCCTTCCAGTGCCCCATCAGAGGCAACACTTGTTCTAAATTATATCCCCAAGAGACGATTTTGCGCGTTCTTGGACTTCGTATGAAAGAAATCATACACCTGTACTCTCGTGTGTCCGACTTCTTTCCCTCAACATATTTTTGAGATTCATCTGGGTTGTTGAATGCATCAGTAATTCATTTCTTTTTATTGATGAGTACGATTCCAGTGTATGAATAACATGGCTATTTATTCATTTTCTTAACAAGTCTCTTCTTTCTCAAGACCGGCCTTGTTTCTGAGCTGGAGCAAGACTTCTTTACATGACCCTTTTTACTAACACACTAATGAGGTTGTTTCCACTGAGTGGAGTTGAAAAATTAAAATTTAGGCTTTATGAAGGACCAGCATCATTTACCCACATGTTATAAATGGAAATTGGATGTAATACATGCTCATTTAGGTTGAAGCTATTTGTGCACCAGGAGACCAATTAAAAGCCTGTGACAATAACCCAATGTGAGGTAACTGAAGTTTGCACCAGAGTTTTTGCTGTGAAAAGAGAAAGGGAGGAACAGATGGGATAAATATTTCACAGGAAAACTTGACAGGGCTTTGTGACAGATTAGGTGTATGGGATGAAGGGGCAGGATGAAACAAATGCTATTTCCGGGTGGACATCTGCCTGGTGGGTCCCTCTTCTCTTTCACCTTGGGCCAGTCACTCCTTCTGCAAGCTCTGTCCTGTTGGGAATTTTAAGGAGCTCTGATTCAGTGGCTCAGCCTGCCTTCCATGCCCACTTGTACATTTTATATACACCTCGCAGCTATTGAAAGGCATAGTGAAATTGCGGAAAGAACACTGAGTTTGGACTTGGTTAGTCTATCATTCTTTCACTTGCTTAGGCTCCCTAAGTCTCAGTTTCCTCACAGGTGAAATGAAGGTGAGTAAATATCCCCACCCTACCAGATCGTTTTGAGAATCAAGGGAAGTGACTTCAAATTTCTTATAATGGTTCACAAGAAACTAATAAGAGAAATCACCTGTAGGAGGGGGTATGAGGGATGGGGGAAGAAGTGGGAGTTAAACTTTTAGTGAAC